TCGACATTTTCAACCTTGAATTTGCCCTGAGCGCATTGGAATAGCTTTTGCACCATGAACACGATCAACTGGAACTTCTCCTCATTGGTGTTCAAGTGCACCATAATGCGTTCGCGCATGATGAATTCCGTTACAGCCTCATCTGGCATCCACTCCGGCACCTCTTGGAAACGTGACCGAAATAGTGTGCCAATGAATGAGCGACATTGGGCGGATGTGTAGACGCCCTCGTTCTGCACATCACGCAACATGCTCTGCACACAAGTCAAATAGTATTGGTCCGACTCGTAGCCCTGCACCAGGCAATTATATATCTGCTCGTCTGTATAGTCCATGAGACACTTGAGTATGAGACAGACGGGCACATAGGACAGCCGTTTGACGTGCGAGAACATGAAACGAGCGGTGCCATTGTTTAGATAATGCAACACATTAGTCAAGGACATCTCATCGTCTCGCACAGTCTGCACCATGACGCCAAGTTCGCTAAAATTGTGACCGCGATCCTTCCACGAGGAGCGCTTCACACAGATCGGATAGTTGCGTCGCGTCATGATGAGCATGCGAACGATTTTCTCATTGCCGCGTATCACGAAAATTCCGCCCCATTCGCTGTCGTGCTCTCCATGCTTCACCATCTCAGCTGGCGATGCGCTGCCCAAGTTGCAGGCACGTGAACGCACCATGACTGGCACGTCGCCTAGATCCATATTGATGGAGGGTTTTTCTAGGCCATTCACAGACCAGCCAAGCCTCACCGAGCACACACCCGAGTAGGAAGCGTGCAATTGTCGAGCATCTGTTGGATATATTTCACGTGTGCGCACGTCAATCACGTCCATTGGCACCTGTGGCTTGGTTATCCAAATGCTGTCAATATTTATGCTAATCCGCTCGCCGGCAGGTGTTTGAAATTGCTGTGGCACAATATATTTGGCCAGATGCCCCAAGCCGACACTTAACATTTCGTTGAAAGACTCCACATGCGGTGCACCCAAATTCGCTAGATGCTGCAAGACAAGTTGCATAAAAAATTGAACTCGGCAGCACTCAAAGTATTTACCTTATTTAGTTTTTTTGGTATTTGCTTGAATTCAGGTCGTGAATTTGTCAGCACTGGATAATCTTTCATTTTGTCCATTATTCAAGAATTCTTTTCACAAATAAAAACGTAAACAAAGTCAAACGGCTCTTCCCGTTGCACGTGCTGTTAAAGTAATCGATAATTTACTGATGTCTATCGATGGCGCTGCCAACCTGTTGCAGGCCAGGAACGTTGAATATTATAAGGTCGCTCAGAAGCAATTCTGTTACGTCATATCTGCTCCATTCTGATTGGTTAAGGTGTATTTGTGACGTTACACTTTAATAGCCGTAATCCTCATTTCGTGTGATTTGCTTGCTCAGCTGATTTAAAGTTTTGCGCCAAACGTGTTAGTTATTTAAATATGTGATGATATTTACAGGTGTGTTGCAAGTGTAAAGATTAGATAATGCTGGCGCAATATTCAAGGATGTCTAAGCACGTAAGACCTGCAGCAATTTGTATGTATAAATGCATAACTGCGGAAATGAAGCTTAAGTCGGAAGTGTCAACGTGTTGCTGCTTAATGAAGTTCCCAGCTTGTCTTGTTATGATTTTGCTGTTTTTGCCGCTGCTGTCGTTGTTGATGTTGTTGTTTGGACATACTCAGCCGCAAAATATGCACAAGTTCGTTGCATTAGTTATGCGAGTGTCTGCTGCTTACAAATGCACAGCTTGGTAGGCTTGCATCCTTGGCCTCAACATTGTAGATTAACTTAAGCTTTCGGCTAGGGTGTATATTGGTCCAAGTAACCTTAATTAACCGCAGGGGCATATGCCATACTATATGACAGCCAGCTCTATGGATGAGTCCGTTTTTGGTATAATGAAGCTGCAAAAGTTTCATTAGTTATTATTAACTTCAGCCAGTCAAAGAATAACTGCTGAAACTTGAGAAAACACGAGAAGCCAAGCGACAACAATAATAATAACAGCAACAACAACAACAAGAGCAAGACTGGCGCTTCGGTTTATTATGCCATTATAATGAACACAATGCACACTTTCTCAAGCACACTATCTCCTTCTGTTTAACCCATCTCTCTCTCTCTCTCTCTCTCTCTCTCTCTCTCACTCACTCTCACTTGCTTTGGCGTCAACTTTTTGCTGTCACTGTCCTTGCCGTTTGCACATTTGCCTGGCGCAATCTCGACCAAAGTTGATCAAGGCATCCGCCGGTATTGGAGGCGGGGGAGAGGGCGGGGCGTAGCACGGTTTTGCCAACTTTGGCAAACGCGCTTCAAGTTTTAGTCGCTTACATTTTATATTATTTTTACTTTTGTTGTTGTTGTTGTCCCTTTTTGGCCGGGCTAACAAAGAGGCAACATGGCAAATTGCATTGTTGATTTTCATTTTCAAGCCTGAGCTGCTCGCTGCTCAGTGTCTCTACGCGTGTGTCGCTCTTCGCCCGCTGCTCTGGTGCAGGGCGACACTTAGCAGCAGCAGCAGGAAACCCTACCAAATGTGTGTGTGCCCTACACCAGCCGCCACCCGTACCTCCCGCCTCGCGCCTTCACGTTACGCTCATTCAAAGTCATTGCTGCGTGTTTCCCACTTTTTCAAATGCCGTCGACAATGGGCAAGTTAGCCGAAAAAAGAAAAAAAAAAAAGAAAAAAAAAAAAACAGCATCCAGTAGGAGGAAAATTGGCGCTGCCTGTGGAAAAATCTGTTGCAAAATGCATTTTCATTTGAAACTTTTGCCAAAAACTTTTCGGTGGGAGTGCATCTGAAAAAACAATGCAAACACTACAGCATCTGCACAAATGCTACGCCATATAGAAAGTATATACCAGATATTTTTGCTCTGATTTAAAATACTTGCATTTGTTTGCCTTCCTAATAGGTAATATGCCAGATTGTTTGTAAGTCTCATTAGAGTTAAGTTAAGACTCACAGCTAACGTTCATTTGATAGAAAGTACTCTTTGGAATACATTCATGAAGTAGTATGTGGGGTAATAGTTATGAAAGGGTAATTTAATTTTACCCTGAACACATTGAAAATGGGACTTTAGGGCAGAGCTGGAGCAACCGCGGCATACCCCGTAAAAGAGATATAATTTTTAACATAAGAGATCTAGATATAGTACTGAGTATATCAGAATGAGGCACGACCGACTCGAGCACTTTAATTAGTTATTTTCTCCCTCGACTTTTATACTTTCTATATACCTGTGTGAACTAAGCTGTCAGCGAAGCTGTTTCTATCAAATTTGATGCAGTTGTTTATTTTGGCTCTGGGCAGTATTTTCTTATATATTTATAGCTGACGCGATAATTAGCTACTTAAATGTTTTGTTTCATACATATGATATATATTTGAACTGGATAATATCCTCAACATTTTAGCTATGTATTTAACATACGGTTAATGCATATTTTCAATCTAATTTCAGCACATATATTAGATTAGTGTAACAGAAATTACAGTTAATCATATCTATAAATGATTGCTAGGGTATTTCATTTTTCATTTCATATAAGTATATAGTCGAGTTTGATAACGCTCTCAAAATATTAGCTGTGAACAGGAGATGAGTATATGTTTTAAAATAGTTTGGCGAGACTAACTGAGGAATGGAATTGAATTATCATGGGGCATGGCATATAATTGGGATAAAAATTATGATTTATTTACATCGTATTTCAGTAGTAAATCCTTCCATGTCAATAGAAATCAGCGTTAATCATATATACAAAAAATCTGTTATTCTACTAGGGTATCTTAGTTTTCATCTCACATCAACTAACTCATGTTTCTAAATATTTATGCAAGATTCTGTGTGTAGATGTTTCAGTGCCAAGGCAATGGCTCGCTACTTATTTTGTTTTTGATCAAATGTGGCAACTGTTTTATTTGTCTCTTAGTCATAATCGGACTTGACGTGTCGCAGCTAAATTTAAATCTATTCATGTGACAGATTTTGATATGAAATGCATTCAAATAAAATCATACATAAACTAAGGGATTCGGGGAAAATCCTTTCTCGAACCCGAGAGTCAAATTGTCTTCTGTGCCTCTTTGTTTTTGTTTTATTTCTTTCTTCTGCCTATTTGCCGATGCAACAAAGCGTTTGGGCAGGCAGCCCTGACCGAGAGCCAAGCATAGAGCGCATACAGCATAGAGCAAGAGAATCTCTGATCTTTTTTGCTTTTTCATCGGGTTTTTTAAAAATAGCAATCCATTAGAAAATGTTCACTCAGTTTTTCACGAGCTGGCCAAGCGAAAAGAGCCTCGCGACGGAAGATAGAAAATCGAAAATTTTCCATACGACCACGCGTATGCTATGAGCATCCATATGTATACTAGAGAATTACTTCAAAGTTTTTTGTAGACATATTTTTTTAAGTATTCAAATTAGTTAGTGAGCAAAGAAGTATATTAGTTGGCAATATATACGTTGGGATATATAAATAGATAAACCAATTACTATAACTTCTTAGTCTTGTGATTTGTGTGAAAAGCGAAAGTCAATAAAAATTGCGAAATCGCGCGTGCGATAGAAATATATAGATATATATATCTA